ATGGTGTACTCGATTTAATACATTAATAATGGTGATATATTATTTACTTCTTCTAAAATATTTACAGACATGACAGAACACATAAATGTAGTAAACGCCTCATCAAATATCTATCCATACAGACACGCATTGTCCTACTGTAAGCATATTTCGCATTTGAAAATGCTGCTGCAGTTACGGAAGATAAACTGTATATATTTATTTATATTTAAAAAAAAATACATCTTAACACATCACAAGTTCCATTTTATGTTAACCATGCTTCCTTACTGTACTGATTTTAGGGGTAATCCCTGAATTGCAGCTGTGCGTTCCATGGTTATGTTGGTCAAAGGTTGTTGAGGAATGGGTACACAGAGAATTTATGGGGTGTATTTATAAAAATAGCAATTCACCTAGTGTGTGTATATTCATTCTGTGTAAATAGAGCACAACGCACAAATGTTATTAGAGTATTTCTGTGCTGGATATTTTTTCCAGTTATTTAACCACTTCAGTACCAGACACTTTCACCCCTTTCTGCCCAGGCCGATTTGCAGCACTGTCACACTTTTAATGCCAATTACTCAGTCATGCAACACTGTACCCTAATTAATTTTTTTATTTCTTTTTTTTTTTAGACACATAGAGCTTTCTTTTGGTGGTATTTAATCACCATTTCTGCAATTTTTTTGCTATATAACTGAAAAGTTTGAAAAAACATTTTTTTTGTTTCTGTTAAAACATTTTACAAATAAATAATCTTTCTTCATAAATTTAGTCCAAATGTATTCTGTGCATTTTTGGCAAAAACCCAAATCAGTGTTTATTATTTTGTCTGTGTGGAAGTTATAGTCTACAAATCATGGTATATATATTTGAAACTTGATAGTTCCCAATGTACAGATTGCCTACCTCATTTCTTTCTTTTCATAAATGCCAAGACAAAACATATGCCCCAAATTACTCCTTTTTGAAAGATCTGTGATTAGATGGATAAAAAATGGACTGCATGTACAACATTTCTATGGGTGGCCGGATGTAAGCAGATGTGCGTCCATTTCCTGATCTGTCCTGATCTGTTCAGATTTGCCAAACAGAATGCAAGAACTTTGCGTCCAGGTCTACTTTTGTGGACTTGACTGGATGTTGACATCTATGTACATCCATTTACATCCAGCTGCTCATTGGGAGTACATGAGTATGTTTTCCTCCATCCCAAGAAGGAGGTAAAAAAAGGAACAAACAAATATGTAGCATACATGACATTCATTTCTGTTCTGATCTGACTCAGCAGGGGCTCAGTGTAGGCTTTTCTGCTGAGAAGGAATGGAGGACGCCCATGTGAAAAGAGGCCATAGACAGAAAAATAATATAGTATTACCATTTGTCTGTCAAGATCATTAAAGAGTTTAAAGATATCTAATTAAAGATAAGCTGCTAGCAAATTAAAAACAGCAATGAGTGCACTAATGTATTCATTAGAAATAATTACATGTATTTCAAATGGAACTAGGGTACATACATGAATCTGTAATCTCCTACAGAGCACCACACAGACTGGGAGAGGAAGAGTCTGCACCAGGTACCAGCCAGGCTATGCTGTACTGCACAGCAGATTGGACCATGATTTTTTTTTTGCCTTCCTCTGGATCAATTGTGGGTTTATGGTTCTGTATATAGTGGTTTTCAATTAATTTATTCATTTTTCTGTTGACTGAACTTAATGGACGTGTGTCTTTTTTCAACCTGACCAACTATTTTACATATGCTGACTGTAAAAAATACTGAAGGGGAGGAATACAGTGAGAATAGGGATGGTCTCATCAGTGTTCTGCTGCTCCTTCGTTATTCATTCATTAGGCTAGGGGTGTGCTCTTGACCAGTCTACATTTAGCTGATTGAGAGAAGTTCAGCTTTAGCTGCAGATATATGGGCAGCACAGTGGCTAAATGGTTAGCACTTCCGCCTGGCAGTACTAGGGTTGTTGGTTCAAATCCCAGCCACATCACCTCCTGCCTGGAGTTTGCATGTTCTCCCTGTCCCTGCGTGGGTTTCCTCTGGGTACTCCAGTTTCCTCCCACACTCCAAAGACATACTGGTAGGTTAATTGGCTCCTGTCTAAATTGGCCCTAGTATGTGTATGTATGAATGTAAGTTAGGTATGTTAGATTGTACGCACCTTGAGGGTTAGGGACTGATGTGAATGTACAATATATATGTGTAAAGCGCTGCGTAAATTGACGGCGCTACATAAGTACCTGAAATAAATAAGATAAACGCTCTGTATAGTCTCTGTTGGGATGTAAAATGTTTATATTCCGTTAAGGTATTGGGAATGTACTGCATATTAAAATATATATATATATATATATATATATATATATACCTACCTGTAATAATATACCCAATAATGAGCTATTTTATAATACTAATGGTAGGCCAGCTCTTCTATCTTTATATTGTACCTATCTGATATTTTTCCTGTGTCCCTTTTAAAGGTCTCTAGAGAAGGAAGAATAATTTCATCCACAAAGTGAAAAAAAAAAAAAAAAACCCCATCTTCAGCGCTATTTTAGATAAGTGTGTTTGGGTCTGACCACCATTTATGAATACATTATAATAGGAATAAAATCAGATAGGGCTTCCTTTCAGCAGATGTCTGGCAAATGGGACAATATGGAAATCAGCATGTTGAACATGAATAAAAGCATAGGCCATGTGTGAGGTGGGCTTCAGTATGCCAATGAAAGACCTCAAGGTTAATCACCTCATTTTTAAAGCTAGTACAATAGCACTCTTCAGTACAGATAAAACAAGATATAATGAAGAAGCATTTACGACTGTTAAAGCAAAGTAGAGGAATGCAAATGGACTTTTTTTCAACTAGCTTTATATGTCTTCTCCTTTCCTTTTGCAAACTGAAGACTGGCCAGATTAAAAGAATTCTAAGGTAGCTAATCAAAAGCAACAGACAATGTGGAACTTTAACCTACTACCTGACTTGTCTGAATACTAATCCTCTGCTCTATGACATAGACAACACATTTGCCCTTGGATGCTGATGCTAGCATGAATGAGTTTGTGTGTAGCATTGACCAAATTCTGTATTAAAATATTGTTGTGTGGTCATCATGTAATCTATTTCATGCAGTGTTCTCCATACTGTTTTCCAGTATAACCCAATGTATACCCATTGCTAAACATAGTGCAGATAATCATTTTGTGGGACATCCTAATGTTCAGCTCACTGCAGTTTGAAGATATTATTATTATTATACAGGATTTATAAAGTGCCAACAGTTTGCTCAGCGCTTTACAATATAATATCACAGCAAAAGCCTGTTTGTTCATTTAGTGTACAGTCTGCTTTATATATTATAATTACATAAAGAAATACACTAGAATTAAACACATTGGGGGGGGGGGGGGATTCAATAAAGCTGCTGCAAAACTTTTATGGCATAATCCCTCTTGTTAATATATTGTGCCACATTCATAATGCATTTGCAACACTTTTGGTTCTGACAGTGACTCGTGCACCAAATTCAGGTAGTTCACATTTATGTTGTGGTGCAATGAATGCCCAAAATTCAAAATAAATTACTGACAGTTCACATCCTATGAGAGTGGAGCTAATTAAGACCAGCTCTCTTTTGGCATACAGAGAAAAAAAATGGTGCAGACAAATTTCACTAGTCTCGAGAGCGTTCTAAAGGTGGCACCGAATTCAAGGACAACTTCTAGACAAGTACCTGAATTTGGTGCATTCTGCACCTCTTTTAGAATGCATGAAAGATACTTATACAAAATCAGCACCAGTTTTTTATGAATTCTAGGGATTGTTATAAATGGATCTTGACACGTGCTTAGAAAAAGTACCGAATGATGCTGACTAAGTACCCTATGACTTGTTCACTCCTTTCACTGTTGTCTTCTGCTACACAATGTGAATGGGAATTAGAGATTAATTCTCTCTTCCCATTTTGGCAAAGTGACAGATTCTCTTTAATAAAAAGAACAATGGAGAACCACCTGCGCTACCCTGAATACACTATTATTCTAGGAAAGGGTTGTCGCTGACACCTGGCTATACACCTGGATGTATTGGGTTTTTTTTTATGCGTTTTGCACATTTTTATTTTATTTTATATGGTTTATCAAACATCACTACATAAGACTGAATAATAATATGAAGAATTGAGTTTGGGATAATTACACACAGGAGGATTCACTAGGGGTGTAATTGAAACCTAATTTTTTATTTAATTATTTATATAAGTATAAGTGTGGGAGCGCAGCACCAATTTTGTTATAATTTAGATTCTCTTTAATGTCTACCCCCCCAATCTACTTATACTTAGCTAACCTGCACTACCCCACCACTCCTTTCCTGCACAGTCCTAACCACGTGTAAGTTGTGTTTTGGATCGTGTTGGAGCTTACACTACAGTTGGTGACATCACCCCTTCCCTTACATGACAGAATTCAGGCCTGGTGATTGGTCACTCAGGTCCACTTACTGCATTATGGAAGTAGAACACATACTGCCCAATACCCATAAGCAATGGATCATTTATGGTGCCTCCGATGGAGCAGTAGTGAAAGTGGGTTGGAATATGACCTTTAGTGACTTTGTCACTTTGCCTCTTTTAATGGAAACACTGATCCAGTAACTAATCCGTCTTCAGAATTCATCCAAAAATATGCCCCATATGTCAAAGTTTCTCAAGTAAATTATTGTTGCTATGGTCATGTTTTTTTTTGTTTGGCACCAGTACACGGCCTCGCAGTACCCCTGGGGAAGGACTACAGCATTCAGCCTAAAGCTGAATTTTTCCTGAGCAGTTGTTTAGCTCAACAAACCTGCCAATATTTTGAGTCGACAACAAGCATACCATAATAAATGCTCTCTACATACAACATCATCTACATTATCTTATAATATTTCATTGTATTGGTTTTTTTGTAGTTGAAAATTGGAATATCATCAGTTTGTTTTTTTTTTTTTTTTTCAACAGCTCCTCCTCAGTTTGTTGTCAGGCCCCGTGATCAGATTGTAGCTCAGGGCCGGACAGTGACATTCCCCTGTGAGACTAAGGGCAACCCACAGCCAGCTGTATTCTGGCAGAAAGAAGGAAGCCAGGTGAGAATTTTCTTACATTTTTATAAAGGATTCTGGTAATATCTTATGTGTTTCCTTATATTTCTTTACCAAAATAAGGGTGTAAGTATATTAAAGGAGAAGTACAGCCAAAGCTCGTTTGGCTGCACTTCTCTTGGGGATCACAGGAGTGCAGTTCATTCTGCACTTCTGTGACCCATATTCAGCCGACAGCAAGCTAAAGTTTGCTGTTGGCTGATGTAATTCAGCTAGCCCAGGCTGAGGAAATATCCCAACTTTAAAGTCGGGATCCACCCAGATGTCTGGACCAGTACCTGGCTCAGCCTTTCAGCGAGCCAGTGAGGGCCTGAGCCAGCCACTCCTGCCCCTCCACAGCCCAGCACTCTAGTGAGTACTGGGGGGGAGGGGGCAGAGCAGAAAGCGGTGACTGACATTCACTACTCTCTGCTCAGAGTGGCAGGGAGAACTGAGCGATAAGTGGTGTTTGATCACTCAGTTCTCATTGTGAGAGCCAGCGGGGGACAGATGTAGCATTGGATCAATGCTGCATCCTCCTAGGTACATATAATTAAAAAAAAAATTAAAAATTAAAATTAAAAAAGCTGTAATTTGTAAGTGTAACACTCATAGGTATGTATTACCTCTCACAGAGATCCCGCTGACAATACACCCATCTGCTTTTCTCTCCAGAAGGAGGGAGCCATTTGGTTCAGCCATAATTCAGGGTAATCATTTACTTCCTGGACTGAGATGCTGGTTCTGTTATGTAAAACGTCTTGGTTGTGTTCAATTCTTGGCTGTGTTCACAAATGTCTGACTCCAGTCAGCCCCTTCTCAACTTGTGACTCACTACAAAGTAACTATATTGCAGTGTAATACCTGTGAGTAAGGAGACAGAGAAAATGCTTTCCCTGTCTGCAGTAGACGGATGACATCATCACAGCCTAGGCAAATTCACTTGACAGGAGTTCAAAAGATTCTTGTTAGTCATAAAAGATAAAAATGTAAACATTTGTGGCTATTTTCCTATTTTTTTTCTGATGCAACTCAAGCCATAATTGTTTGAAACACAATAATTTCTGCTACTAGTGAGGGAGCAGTGATTCTGCTGTACATCTCTGTTTCAAAAGGAGCATTAGTGAGCTGGGATTAGTGGATTCTGTTGCTGATGAGATTCAACCAGCAGCAGATCTGCCAAAGCAACATGGAAGTGTATGGTGGTCTCTTGGGCTTAGTAAAATCCTTTAGACTTGGCAGTTGGAGGGTGCTTGGCAAGGATTGAAAACCAAGCTCCTCCTGTTAGTGTTGATGTGAACTTAGTAACCTAGAATCATGATTTTGGATTGTGAGAGAAACTGAAGAACTTAAAAAAATTTACATTAGTTAGGTGGAGGCCATATGGATTACAAACAGTCAATGAGGTCATGGGGAAATTACATAGAAGAACTCATCGCATAAACACAGTGCTTATTATTAGTGGCATATTCGCTAACCATAGAGAGTAGCAATGACCGTTGGGCACAATAAGGTTTAAATAAACAGACTGTGCTATCGGATTAGGCTTTTGACCAGCAAAATGTGCAGTCAAGGACCAACATATTGCTTGTGCGACCTATATCATTTGAAGTTTTCTGGCCAGCAAAATGCACAGTCAAGGGCCAACATACTGCTTGTGCAGCCTATTCTAAAAAAAAAAAGATGGACGGGGAAAGAACATGAGGGTCAGAATGGAGTAGATCCTTTCATTCCACCACTGACTTGTGGACCCACAGACTCCCTGTGGGCTTCTTATAAAGACAGAATGACCAAGTGGCACCATGGTATGAGGGCTTGCATTAAAAACTGTTTATTTACCAAGGGTACATAAGGGTCCTTCTGACAACCCGTCAATGTAGGCTCTGTCAGGGATTTTACTAGTTGACATGAATATCAAAACATCCATCATACTAAATTCATAAACAACAACTATAAGAGCAAACACCAGCATAGCAGTAAAGAATGCAGAGTCAGCTTCATTTTGGTAACAGGCTAATGTTTTATGTTAAGTGGTTCTGTAGTGGTGTGCATGAATCTTTTAAAGTGGACAACCATCTCTTCATTATAAAGTGAAGAGCTTCTAATTAACAGAACTCGTTATTTGGAAGATTAAAGCAATTCAGGCTAATTGAATAGTGTTAATACGCTATTTTATAATCTTCCATAGCTCTTGTTTTGCCAGTGCGGTGTTTTTAAGGTAGAATTGTACTCTTTGTCCTCATAATTGAATGCTATTAAGTTCTGGATGAAGCTTTTTTTTCCTTCTCAATTAATTACACAAGCTTGCTGTTTAATTAAACACATCCCATAGGGTAGAACTGTACTTGCCACAATGTAAACACAAAACACCCATGTGACATAATTCATGTGCCATGTAATGTACTTGTCAATATTCCAATGGCTTGATTTGTACACAACAAGAGATGCAAAATAATGTTCTACATCAGGTACCATTCTCGACCATCAAGTGTTCTTACATGTTAATTAATTAATGATCTACCCAGGTGATGTAGGAAGTATATTCATTTATTTCAATGAACATTAAATTAATTGATGTCATTAATGTAATTTATTTAGAAAACAAAATAAGGATGTCATTTGACTTTTCATATTTTATGGTTCATGTTGATTGTTGTTTATACAAATAGAATTTGTTTACTAATTAGTTCAATAGGCATCCCAGGTGACACGGTTCTTTGTATAATCCATGCATTGGAGCCTTCCATTCTTTTATTCCTCCTGCAAAGCAGCACATAAATAATGCTCCATTTTTCAGTGATAAGGTCAGCCTATCATTTCTAAGTCCCACCCATCATAATTATAGCTGATCTTATTTCTATACAGATAAAGGAATTAATTGTCAATCGTCTATGTCCATTTTATATACGGTAGGAATCAGCTGAGTGTCCTTATTGTCCTGGTTAGATTTCCTTCTGAGACAAGATTCCAGCCTTATATTGGAAGAAGCAGATAGTTCCTTCTTAAGAAATGCAGTTAGGATTAGCCTGGAAAATGTGGGGAAGGGATCCTATAGTCCCACCTTCTGCCTGCAAAGTATGTATATGTATATAAATATATATATTTATGAGGTATTAAAATGCAGCATTTCAAAATGACCTTTATAAAGTGAAAAAAAAACATTTTTTTAATTTATTTTTAGCCCTGAAAATAATAAAAAAAGAAAATATATAAAAAAATGTACTGTCCCAATCAAAAAGTATGAACCCCTTTTAAAGCTAAATTACTCACTCCATAGCATAAAAAAAGCTAAAAAATAATCCTACCATTATGCATGGTACTATTTGAAATAAAAAGATGTATTGAAATGATTTTTCATTTAGTAGACTTGATACATAAGCTCAAAACATTAATGTCTCTCAAAATTGATAATTAAAGCTTGTGGGATTCCTGGTAACTTTAGGCCTCATGCACACTGGGCATTTCACCTCAGTGCATGAAACTCTGTTGTTAAGGTGTAGGTGGAAGATACAGACACACCATTCAGCCCCATTGCTGGCAACCTGTCAAACTCTATGGGAGATTGACTGTGGGTGGATAGGGCTGCATGGTGTACCTGGTGGTACTTACTTTTAGTACCATATGCACCCAAGGATGAATGCCTGGAATGCAGACTGCTTGTGTTATGGGCATTAAGTATGGCTAGGTGCACTGTCTAGCTGCAATGGCTGTTAGCAACGAAATAGAATTTGACAGGCTGCTGACAGCGAGGCTGGACCGTGCACCTCCACCTTCCACCTGCACCTTAATGCCGAACCCTCATAAACTAAGGCTAAACACCTATTGTACACGAAGCCTAAAGTATATGTCCAGCCAAAACAGCTTTGGATAGAGTGTCAAAAGAGTAGAACCCCTGTTGAATTTTTTTTTTTGCTATCTTTTAGAGTCCTGGGGACAATGGTTTCTCTAGATGCAAAGTGAAAAAAACTTTCCAACAGCATTATAGATAGAAACAATGTTTTTTAATGGTGTAAGAAAAGAATCTCATGTCTCGTCTCATCTCATGAGTTTCATCTCATGTGTCCTTATTGTAGTGTTTTCCTCACTTCTGGTTAGGTTTTTGTAACTGTGACATTAAGTGAAGGGAAATCTCTCTAAAGCCAACCATAGATTAATCAAAATTCAGCTGGTTAAGCAGGGACTGGCTGAATTTTGATCCTTGTATGGGCGGGTTGGTTGAACAACCAGCCTGTTGGACAATTTTCACATTAGCTCTGCCAGCTATAACAGTATGTGCTGATCAGTGTATTCTGACAAGGGGGTAGTCTCTCCTCTGTCAGAATACAATAGCTCAGTAGGAGGGATTCCCCCATCCACAAGTGTGTGGTCGGGGGAATCTAATCAATTTTTTTGTTCAATCCGCGGAATAGTATTGCTGCCTAACAGAGCACCAGATTGCCTTAAAACATGAAAGATGTTCACATTTTTTCCTCAAATTATCCAAACTAAAAAATAAAACAGGCTTTAGCTGAACATACACTTTAAATCACATGCCAGATTCTTATACTCTTACCAGAATCCAGGTCTACCCAACTTATATCATATAAGCCTTCTATAGCAGCAGGGCAGATCTCAATTTACTGAGATCAAAACAATAAAAAGTTTTGTCTGTTTGGCTGATGTGGGCTGCTTTTCTACATGGCATTTTGACTTTTTTATAAAACTGACAGGGTGACATACATCATTTGAACCAAACGTTCAGACATGTGACATTAGAAAAAGAAAAGAAATAATCATGTATACCCACTAGGTGCTTGCATTAGCCACTGCAGACTATTTTTTTTTAATTTATATTGTTTTCCTTTTTTTTTCTCTTCAACAGAATTTGCTCTTTCCAAATCAACCCCACTAGGTGCTTGCATTAGCCACTGCAGACTATTTTTTTTTAATTTATATTGTTTTCCTTTTTTTTTTCTCTTCAACAGAATTTGCTCTTTCCAAATCAACCCCAGCAACCCAACAGTAGGTATTCAGTGTCCCCAACTGGAGATCTAACTATTTCCAACATTCAGCGCTCAGATGCTGGTTACTACATTTGCCAGGCTTTGACAGTAGCTGGAAGCATATTGGCCAAGGCCCAGCTGGAAGTTACTGATGGTGAGTATATACAGTCGCTGTCAGTCTGTGAAAAGGAGAAAAAAATGTCTATCAAGGGCAGCATGTCCATTTTTACCATCACTGCTGGAAATTATATGGTGACTGCACTTTATATACAGAAAAGATTAAACTGTGTCAGCCTTGTGTCCCTTAACATTTGGGGTCTTGTTTCTATCAATCGTGCCAGCTTACTGTTCCAACGTTGCCATTGTTGCTCATGTAATTGGTTTTTGTCTGTCCTTTCTGCTACCAGATGCATATGATGCCAGTCCGATTACAGTTTAAACCAGTTTAAGTGTTTGTATCCTTGCAATTTAAAGATGTTAACCCTGGTCATAATAAACATACATAGCATGCATCTTTGTGTATCTTTTATGTGATATCACCAATTACACTAGTATCCCAAGTATCCCACTCATATGTTACTAGATATTGTTTATAATGTTACTGCAGATCAGGTTTGATGAATCACAAACGTTTGACTGAAAACTGCACGTCCACTGCCAGAAATAAGGAGCACTCATCATGCAGTGCATAGCCTTTGTCCTTGGTCAGCTGTGTCACAAGGACCAATAATTTTAAGAAATTGATAACCCATTCCCCCTTTTGGTTTGTTGGTGCTGTTAGGGAGAAAAAACTATTTATCTATTTTTATTTTGACATCAGTACATGTACCCCATGGCAGTGTCCAGCTTTCCATGGCTTTAGTTTTACTTATTATCCCTAAAATTGGCCAGAATTGAGTAACAAAATACCCCCACCCACAATAGACTTCAATGGAGTGCACCCACAGTTTGCAAACTTTAAGAAATATTTGCTAAACTGTTTGCAAACCAAACCCAGGCAAATCTTCTTGTCTTTAAATGTTAATTTCACTGTAGTGAAACTGAATATACAGCAGCACAAATAAAAGGTTGCATTAGTAGCAACTACTGTTGGACCCAGTCACTTGTCATAGATATTTAGTGACAAAGCTTTCAGCTATGATGACGCTGTTTAGGATGTGATAATCGTGGTCGTGTTTAATAAAATGTTTTAGTAAGAGTAAACTTGATTTATTGGCAGAACAACATTTTTATAGAAAAGGTGGTCTGAGTCATATTACCATAAGACACTTGACGCCTGTGCCAAACACATTAGGATAAGAGGAGGAAGCACCAGAATACCACTTCACTTATTTTCTGGACAATTTTAAACGCTTGCAATAAAATGCAGAAATGTGTATAAAAGAAGTTTATAGGTATCACAAAAACTTACTGAAGATTAGGCAACTTGCTTTTTGTTTGGCGCCCAATGGGCATTTGCGTTTGTCGCCCACTCTCTTGATAAATAATTTTTTTCTATGGATTAAGCCTTTGCCTCTGCATTTTGGCTCAATAGGGTTGATTTATTAAAGAGATGTTTTTCCAGAGCTTATTGAATGTGTTGAAACTTCACTTAGCAAGGAATCATGTGCGATTAAAAAACTTGCTAAAGTTGCTTGCACATGATTGGATAATGAAAGTCTACAGAGCTTTAACTCATTCCCTAAACTCTGGTGAAGTAAACCAACTCCAAATTGTGAGCTTGGACTGGAGTATATCTTATAATATGGGGAACATACCAACCAAGAACACCAATTATCTGTACATTATGACAAATTTTGGTCTGAAAGCTAAGCTAGTTCCAAAGTAGAATAAGGCAAATGTGTGAACTTATGTTTTTAAAGACAAGACTTAGGCTTGCACTCCCTTGTACTTTCTCTTTATATATTGTACCTATGAAATGTTCAATGGGCTTGTGTTTTATGGCTAGGATGGAAGGTGCCAAACTTAAGACTGCCACATTTATTATATTTGTATAATGTCAAAGTTTCAAGTATTCCAGGGAAATTAGCCCAACTACAAGAGCCATTGGTTTCCTTAGAGCAGGGGTCTCCAAACTATGGCCCTCCAGCTGTTGAAGTACTACAAGTCCCATTATGCCTCTGCCTTTGGGAGTCTTGCCTGTGGCTGTGAGAGTCTTGCAAGGCCTCATGGGGCTTGCAGTTCCCAAACACCTGGAGGGCCATAGTTTGGAGAATCCTACCTTAGTGGAAAACTTTTTATAATTACACTTCTTTTATAAACACATAGGGGGAGATTTTCTAAAACTGTTGCACACAAAATCTGGTGCAGTTGTGCATAGTAACCAATCAGCTTATAACTTCAGCTTGTTCAATTAAGCTTTGACAATAAACCCTAGAAGCTGATTGATTACTATGCACAGCTGCACCAGTTTCTATGTGCACCAGTTTTAGTAAATCTCCCCCATAGGGACACTATAGTACCCACCGTAATGATGCTTCTCCTGTTGCGAGGAGGGGTACAGAGACAAGCATTCCTCAATCAGGGTTAGAAGTAGGTCACAAATGCTGTAACAGTTACTGGTATACCTCTGACTACACAACCATTTCCATTTGCTTTCAAAAATCCTTTATTCCATACTAAGTGTAGAATTATTGTTTTTCTCCCTCTTTAGATTTATCACAATTAAAACAACTTTTCTGCTTTGCTGAAAGTAGGTCAGTGAATGAATACATCATACAACAGAGCAAGAAAATTACATTGTTAGTTGGAAAGTTAGTGTTTATCATCAGATACTCTAATTGCTTCTGTGTTTAGCCTCCGTCTCTTAGTTTTTTGTCCTCTCCACCTGACAAAATTATGCATTTTTGTACGCTTGAAATTACTACGCAGATTAAAAGGTCCTCTCAATTAATAGTCTGGCAATATTTTTCCATATCTGTCTCCAGAGCAGAGGTGACTCTGGGTAGACGCTGTGATTGGAACAAACACAAAACGGATAAACATTGGCTTGCAGAACATTGAGCTGTTAATAGTTGCACCTGCTGGTAAGTCTACAGATTTACTGCGAAGAACAAGCCGGGTTCAAGGATACCAGTGATGAGAAATTCTTTGCGTTAAGAGTAAAAGACTGCAGTCTATTTGTAACAGAATAAAAAAAATGATGGGGATTCAGCAGAGGTTAGATCCATTTAAAGAGCTTTGTGGTTTTCATATCACACTGGAAATGTCAGGGGAAGGGAAATAATTATATGCATTTTTTCATGCTTTCCTTAACTTTTACACTACTCACAACGCAGAAAGATTACATTTAAAGTAATTACCTGCAGTGATATTTGCATAAATATCCATAGGCCACTGGTAATGATTTTTTCTTTCAAATAGCTGGGTGTTGTTTAAATTGCTTAAAATGCCTGGTGATTTTGCCTGTGCTTCTGACTGAGATTTGGAACCACTGAAAGCCTGGGGCAAAAAGGAATGGAAAAAAAATAAAATAATATAGAAAACTGTACAATTAATTGTATACTGAATAGATAAACTTCTTTCCATTTAAATACATTTTAGATGGTTAAGTTATACCCTATAAAACCTTTAAAACTGCTGAATCACAACAAAATATTCAATCTACAGTATAAAGTTGAAGTTGAATTAATTGAGGTTCGAATCTCTGCCAGTCCAGCAGGGACTGGCCAAGATTCAATCGATCTATGCGCAGACTGATTGTCGATCCATTGGTTGACTCAGGTACAACCAGCATGTCAGATCTCTAGCATTCGATTACTGCCAGCAGCTATAACTGCTAGCAATAATCACTGTGTTCTCCTGGCAGGGACATTCCTCCCCCCGCCAGGAGAACACAATAGCTCTGTGAGAGGGATTCCCCCATCAACACCATTTCAGTCTTTGCAGATGACACCAAGCTTTGCAGTGGAGTAACGTCCTTACAGGATGTCTCCAACTTACAAGCTGACCTCAATGCACTGTTTAATTGGGCAACTATGTGGCAAATGAGGTTTAATGTTGATAAATGTAAGGTTATGCACTTGGGGGCTAAGAATATGCATGCATCATACATACTAGGGGGGGTACAACTGGGGGAATCAATGGTGGAGAAGGACCTGGGAGTTCTGGTAGATCACAAGCTTAATAATGGCATGCAATGCCAAGCTGCGGTTTCTAAAGCGAGCAAAATCCTCTCTTGTATTAAAAGAGGTATAGACTCCAGAGAGAGAGATATCATTATACCCCTGTACAAATCATTAGTAACACCTCATCTGTAATATGCAGTTCAGTTTTGGACACCAATTCACAAAAAGAACATTGGGGAACTGGAGAAAATACAGAGAAGGGCAACCAAACTGATAAGAGGCATAGAGGAGCTCAACTATGAGGAAAGATTTGAGGAACTGAATTTATTCTCTCGAGAAGAGGAGATTAAGGGGGGATATGATCAACATGTATGAATACATCAGTGGTTCGTATAGTAAACTCGGTGTAGAGTTATTCACCCTGAGTTCATCACAGAGGACAAGGGGGCACTCTTTACGCCTTGAGGAAAAGAAATTTAATCTCCAAATACGGAAAGGTTTCTTCACAGTAAGAGCTGTGAAAATGTTGAATAGACTCCCTCAAAAGATGGTTCTCGCCAGCTCAGTGGATTGCTTTAAAAAAAAGGCCTGGATTCTTTCTTGGATACACAGAATATAACTGGATACTAACATTTATAGGTAAAGTTGATCCAGGGAATATCCGATTGCCTCTTGGGGGATCAGGAAGGAATTTTTTCACCTGCAGGAGCAAATTGGATCATGCTTTGCTGTTTTTTTTTTTTTTCATTCCTCTGGATCAACTGTGGGCATAGGATTATAACTTTTCTTGTTTTTTTGTTTGGTTGAACTGGATGGACTTTTGTCTTTTTTCATCCAGACTAACTATGTAACTATGTAACACTGGCTGTGTTGATGGTGAAATTAAGTGATTTTCTCTCCTGCAACACATGGCTGCAGGAAAGAAAATTGCATAATCTATGGCCTGCCTTATACAGAAATCTTAAAGATGAACTCCAGACAAACATCCAAATACACTGATTTATCTGCCAAAGGATTGTTTTTCTGTCCTTCTAGGCCTGAGATTTAAACAGTACAGCTCTCTATGGCAGGGCAGGAAACCTGATTTTTCCAGGGTAGTACTAACTAAGCATAAAACTGCTCCCACTTCTAACACCTACACTAACTACCCTGTAAAAAAAAACAAAAAACTGTATACTTATTGTTAGGGCACTGCGGTCTGGCCAGGTGATTAGACAACAGCTGGAATGCCTAGTATTGACATCACCCATAGGCTCACTAAGGGCCATCTGTTGTTGGCGCTCCTTCCTCTACCCTGAAGCCATTGCTAGCTGAGAGAGAAGAGCCAAGCATGTGACTGGACAGGAGCTGCCTGAAATAGGTAAGTATTTGCATCTTTCTTTTACTGGGTAGTTAGTATACAGATAGATGTTAGAAGTGGGGTGGGAGCACTTTGCACTCTCCTGCTATTAGCATGTTGCTTGTTTGCATATGAGCACTGCAGCATAACCAGTTGCTTTTTTGTGCTGCTTCTCCCTCTTGCAATCTAAGTTTTGCCGTACAGGGACTGTAAAAGGCTAAAACCAAATCAAATTCAGGTATTCACACATACATTTAATGCTGCAATCATGAATACAGAGCAGTTTTAATATGTATCTCCTATATTTACCTTGGTTCAGCTTCACTGTATGTGAAGTCACATTTTGTCCAATTTCAATGTAAACAGTTAAACAACACTGCATACATTTAGCAGCTTACTTGCAAATCCAGTTGGATAAGTTGAAAAATTTGTGCTCTCAGTTTTCAGTTAATTGTATTTTGTGATATTACCTTTTTCTTTAAAAGTCCTAAATTTTTTAATGCTTTGGAAAGCCCATTTACCACTTATATATCTTGTTATTTTGGTTATGGGAAACTATGTTTTCCAGATACAGAAGTGTTAGTAAAAAAAGAAAATGTTTAATGCAAGCCCCTTATGCCTCTTAGGAACATTTGTAAGGCATAATACGTCTATATAATGATGACATGCTAAACATTTCATTTAAACCATCATTTAAACACTACATTTCAGATGTTGGGGAAGAGATACAATACATAAATTAATCTAAAGACTAGTTGGACAACAGTGATGTGTTACTATATAAGCACACCAAAATCAAGAATTTAGAGCTTCTCTCTGTTAATATATGTTAAATTTGTAATAACATATTTCAAAAAAGTGCATGTTTTTATCACTTACACCTAATATACCATGATAAAGATATATATTGCGTCCCGTGTCTTGAAATAGTCACATTCAAGCAAGTTCCTTTACATAGACATTGCTGTATGGTAGCTTTCCTTAGCTGTAGTATACTTGCTGATTGTCACCCGAATTTTTCTTATTTTAGCTGCCTGGGGACTCAGAGGATGTATTTGGAGTTATTTGATCATTGCTCATTCATCCAAAGCTTGACACAGTTCTCCCCTATTGTTCCGATGATGAACAAAGTTCAGATCAGTAAATGAAAATCTTAAATTCTAGTTCTCTTTTAGTCAGCCCCTCCCTTGGAACATTTTGCAATCTAAAACTCTTTTATTCAACCAATCTTTCCTTTCTCGTTGAGACCAAAAACATGAATTTAACAATAGGGTTGATTGAATCAGGTGAATCCCATATTAATCACCTTTGGTTTTCACAAATATCTGCACTGAGATTTGACTGACCTGCAGAGAATTGAGAATTATGCAATTCAAAGCAGAACCCCACTGCATGGATCAACTGCTTGTTTTTTCTAGGGGTGAGGACTAAGCTCATACTCACCTGACCTGCCAATCCTATGGAAAACCATGCTTCCCCACGGTCCACCGGTGGACTGTGCCTGTCTGTGGAGTGTGCTGACATCAGGAACAGTACATTTATAAGACCAGCGGCCTGCAGGAGGGCAGGAGCTGAAAGGACTATTCTTGGGCGGGAGGATTGGTGAGTATATCTTCAGTGTCCTCTCCCCTAGAACAAAACAGAACAGTGTATACCATCAAAATACCATCAGCGGTTCTGAAATCTAAAGTATGTACATTTTGGGTTGATTTACTAAAGGCAAATAGGTCCTTCACTTTGCAAGGGAATTTCCTTTAGCTTACTGAATGAAGTTAAGCTTTGCTGTCTTTCATCAGTCAATCATGTGCAGGTAAAAATACATTTTTTTTTAAATTTTCCTTACACGTGATTGGGCGTTCTTTGCTGAATTCATGTTCACCATGTTCACTAAGGTAAGGGAAAACTCCTTTGCAAAGTGAACGGCCTCTTTGTCTTTGGTAAATCAATTCCTATGTATATAAAGATTAGGGATTACCTGTAAAATTTAAGAAAACCATGTTAAAGGCAGAGCAATTACAACAGTGACACCTTCAGGCTATAATATGAACTAACTAGCTGACTGTAGTAGAAGCAGTCATGTGGAAGGGGCCATTTTGTGAGGTTAATCAGTGTGTCCAAGAACGCCGTCTGTCAGCTGATGAAGGGATCAGTGACTTCACTGGCACAGAATTCTAGTCTAGATCTGTCCCTTTATTCCAAGAAACGACAAAACAAAGCAAATGGAGTAAACTGTCACGACTATTCCATAGTCTACAAAAAAATATGGCTGCCGTGCTTGGTGCTTGTGGAGCATTTTGTCTTGTTGCATGTTCTTAGATATCTTTACCAATGAGATACATTATGACACACATTTGATCAAGCAGTGAACTTTAACTGTAATTATTTATAAAATGGTAAATTTATCATATAAACTGAAAATATAGTGTAAGTCAAAACTACATTCTAGATATTAACACAGAAAACAATTGAAGGCTCCTGAAATGATACCTGACTGGCCCACTTTAAATGGCACTATGGACGTTCACACCTGACTGCAACCTCTAAGTGTTCATTTAACCTCTGACCTGAGTGTCACAGAAGCCTGTAATGATGTAAGATGTTGAAGAGCCCTGGAGTCGAGTGTTCTTCCTGGTGAAAAAGACTTTTAATCTGTTATTGATCTGTCTCATTTAATGCATTATGGAATAACCATTTAGGTAGTTAAAATAAATGACATGTGTTATCGAAAAATATGCAAATGAGCAGAGACTTTTGCCATAAAACTAATAGCCCGCTCAGTTTTCTAATTTCTGCTTTCATAAAAGTAACATAAAGGGCATGATGTAACAACAATGGTAGCTCACATTCCAACCCCATCACTGTACAGGTAAATGTCAACCACAGCAACAAATAAAATGTTGACTTCGATCGTTTAACCATCATTGGCTGGAATCTAACTGGTCCTGAAATAACTGTTAGGCTTTAATTGCACTATACTTATCTTCAACTGGTTTATATGACATCCTTGTTGCTATATCATTTTGATCCTTTTGTTACCTTTTCCGCTTTTATTTTAGTGTTAACGGACAGACCACCTCCAATAATCCTGCAGGGTCCAGCCAATCAGACATTGGCAGTTGATGGTGCAGCGCTACTGAAATGCAAAGCCACGGGTGAGCCCATGCCAGTTATCAGCTGGCTAAAGGAAGGATTTAATTTTATGGGAAGAGATGCAAGACTGTCCATTGTGGATCAAGGATCCTTGCAGATTAAATCCTTAAAGGTAAGCAATAATTTATAGGCAAATATTTTCTGTTCAACTATACTGTATGTACACTAAATTAATTTTTTTTAGTTTTGGATAGGGTGGAGAGGAATTAGAGAACCTTTCAGGTTTTATTGCTTTCTATGGTTTCATCCTCTTTATTTGCCCTGTTTACCATTATCACGGATGTCATTGAAAATCAAGGTAAAAGAACATCCCAAATTATGGGTTGACATCAGAACAGGAATAAAGGGGGACATCTCCCAATGAGGGCACTAGTTCTGGCGACAACCCAAGATTCACTCACTTACTAATTTACTGTTTTGGCTATAGGACAGGACGTGAAGAGAAATCTCTCTAACTGGACACAGATGGCAAAAAAAAAAACTGACATGGGTTATGACCCTCCTTACTTTATCTAAAATGAAAAAAAAAGTTTTGCCTTTAGTGACACTTTAAGTGTAATGTGGACATATGCCTGTGCATGAATGTCTGTACACATATTACCAGTGGGCCTGAAAGGTAAAAGTATAATTTTTCATATGTTTATATACGCTTTTTTTTTAAGTTCTTGCTAGGTTATGTGCGAGAACACTGATGAGGAAATGAGCTCATTGAATACATTTCCCTTTATATCAGTACATGATGGATACACATTATAGGGTTAATAATTAGATTAGCCGTTTATGAAAGCTTTTAATTAATTAGATTTTTTTTACATTGTATATAAAAGCATACTTTCACCCTGACCATCTCTATCTCTATGATTAAGCCTTCATTGGGTGAAATGTGTTAAAGAGGGATAGTCTGCAGGTGGGGGCTCCTTGTGTGTCTGTGTCGGTCAAGTAAAGTTTTAGGAGTGATGGCATCACATTCTGACCCTCTTTTCAGCTTGGAGAGACCAAGTGTGGTATAGTTTTATTACACTTGACAGTACATTACAATAGAGCTCTTTGCCATAAGTTCTGATTTTGCTGTCAATGCACACACATTTGGGTGTTTCTGATCCCTGTTGCATTGAAATCAATGAAAAATCCAATAGGGATAGACGGACCCATGATTGTTATTGTGTCCAGGGGTACAGACCTGGAAAGTAAATTAAAGTAGGTAGAAACTTAATAGTGTCTAATCTTTAGAATGTTAACGTAATTTTAAAAAGTCCTTTTTAAAATTTGTAAGTGTGCTGCTTTTATTAAAAAAAATACCTGGTGATCCTGTCATGAAGGTCTTTATTCAGGCACTTCCTGTTATGGGGTGGCAACTCATTATAGGGTGACAACTTGATTTCTCTCTTACAGTTTCATCCTATCCACATATGCTTGCAGATTGAGGTGAAAACAGTATATTCAAAAGAAATGCAAAAAGAACATGGTATCTGTTTAAGATACATAGTACTTTAGCAAATTAATTTATAGCTGGTGGAGGCTAACATCCACTTTAGAAATAGAAATCTTTTTATTATAGTCTGAGAAATATAGGGAACAATTTGATTATTTGTTTCTGCGGTATCTATCAAAAACTGAAACATTGTTTAACAGAGGACTGACTGTTTAACCACTTGACTTAACCCCCTTCATGACAAGTGCATTTTTTCTATTCAGCTATGTGCTACTTTAAATGGCAATTGCATGGTCATGCAACACTGTAATGAATTTTATATCTTTTTTTTCATACAAATAGAGCTTTCTTTTGGTGGTATTTGATCATCATTGGGTTTTCTATTTTTTATTATATAAACAAAAAGACCAAAGGTTTTGAAAACAAAGAAGGTATTTTCTATTTTCTGTTATAAAACCTATCCAATATAAAATCAATTTCTTCATAAATTTAGGCTAAAATGTATTCTGCTACATGTCTTTGGTAAAAAATCCCAGCAAGTGTATATTAATTGGTGTGTGTGAAAGTAATAACATCTACAAACTATGGTATATATACTAAAATGTATGCAGCTAGAGACACAACACTGGTAATAGCGGTGATCAGCGACTTATAGTGGGACTGTGATAGTGTGCGGGCAATCTGGTGCTAACAGACACTGGCTGAAAGGGACACTGACTAACAGACACTGACATCCCTAGTGACACTAATATGGTGATATAATACTGTACACTATACATTGTACTAATGACACTGGCTGGGAAGGGGTTAACATCTAGGGGTAGTCAAGGGATTAACTGTGTGTCTCACAAGTGTAATGTGTGTTATGTGTGCTGCTTTTATAGATCTGGCTGCTTTTGTTCCCTGTTTTTTAGAAAGAAGAAACAGCCAGATCGCTGTTCTGTTTACACAGAGTTCTGTGTGTTTGTAAACACAAAACTCTGTGCTGTGATAGGACACAGCTAATCAGCTGGTTTCAGTCAAAATCATTGGCTGAAACCTGCTGACAATGGCATGTATGTTGCCGTGCAAGCACTTGCCCCCCGCTTGCAGTACATTTACTGTGAGCAGGTCGGCAAGTGGTTAAGTAAATTATTTTGAATATTTCTTTCAGTCAGCTGTTATTATATTGTCTAAACATGCTCTTATATGGAAATATTAGGTATCGCTCTACTACACTCACTGGCCACTTTATTAGGTACACCTTTCTAGTTCCGGGTTGGACCCCCTTTGGCTTTCCGAACTGCCTTAATTCTAAATGGCATAGATTCAGGAAGGTGTTGGAAACATTCCTCAGAGATTTTGGTTCATATTGCCATGAATTACTGTTGCCTTTCTATCATCTTGAACCAGTCTGCCCATTTTCCTCTGATCTCTGACATCAACAAGGCATTTTCATCCACACAACTGCTGCTCACTGGATATTTTCTCTTTTTGGACCATTCTCTGTAAACCCTAGAGATGGTTGTGCATGAAAATCCCAATAGATCAGCATTTTTTTTTAAATACTCAGACCAGCCCATCTGGCACCAACAACCATGCCCCATTCAAAGTCTCTTAAATCCCTTGTCATCCCTGTTCTGATACTCAGTTTGAACTTCAGCAAGTCATCTTCACGAAATCTAGATACCTAAATGCATTGAGTTGCTGCCACGTAATAGGTTGATTAACAATTTGTGTTACCAAACACTCATGTGGACGGTGAGTGTATATGGTCATTTGTTAGACAGAATTGCCATATATAGTATTGCTAAAAAATATTACATTAGCAGATTAAAAGAAAAAAACAACCTAATTATAGGGAAAGGCTGTCCTCTCCAGTATTTCAAGACACTCAGTATATCACTGTCTCGTTCATACACTGGTTACAGTGGATAGTGTTTTAAACTTTATGTCTGTCACTGTCTGTCAGTGACCATAAATTAATTATTAACTTCCTCTGAGCAAAATGGAATGTATTAAAAAAATGAATGTCAGCATTCCCTGAGTAAACAATTTAGCCTCCCACTTCATGCTGAAGGCAAGCACTGGCCACAAAGGTTAATGCATTTTTATTGTACTGCTGGATTAAATAGTGCGCTTGACTAGGCAAGGTCCCCAGGAGTTGGTGGAAAATCAGCCAGTCAAGGTAGGAGCTCAGTGATCCTGAGCCAACTCCCGGGACGTACGCGACTTCTGTCCACAGTGTTTCTGACGAACTGGCAGAGATGAGGAAAGAGATTGCACTGATATTCAGGGATTTAGAAAGGTTGTCTTTAAAATCTCAGTGTAGGCTGTGAGTCATTCTCCAAAAAGCTGCTTACATATAGCTGTAAATAGAGTTATGTCACCTGTCTATCTCTCAAGGAGAAATAAGATTTCAACTCTTATTTCCCGGTAGCTCCCACTTCTCCCCAGACACAATTTCATAGTCAGAGACTTTTTTCAAGATTTCACTGTACGTTTGCCCTTTGCATTTAATCTACATCCCCCCCACCCCCTCCCTCCCCCCTTCAACATGATTTAGAATTTTTGGTCAGTTAATATCTCTTTTTGTGTTGTATATTGATAAAAATATTGCCAAACATGAAAAAATTAATTTTTGTTGGTCCTGACCATAGCTATGTTATACAAATGTAACAGATGATGGCGGCCCCAAAGACTTGTATTTTTGTTACCAATTCCATTGAAAAAATATCAAGGGTGAGACATAGATATTGCTCAGACAGGAAGCACTGAGCTAACTGTACTACCGCTGTACTCTGGGCACATGTTTAGGACAGCCATATATTTAGAAAGGACAGCACAGGTTCACTTTATTGTGACGTGTTCTCTGTTTAGACCAGCCATTCATTTCAATGGACTTCCCTACCCACAGAAATGCAGGGAAAGTAGTCCCTGATCCTTTTTTTGGTTATCGTGCCACAGGTAACCGTATGGTGCTGCAGTACCATGTGAATTGTCACGCTTGAAAACACACCGCAGTTGCTAATATGTAGGAGTGCCATTAACATTTAATGGAACCCCTGGACGTCTGCTGAAGTGCAGCACATTTCTGAGAGGATTGGGAACACGCACGTTCCCAACCTGCAGATATGTAAACCTAGTCCTATTAACAAACTTAACGTACCTCCCACTATCCTATCCATAGATCCTTCAATACAATGAGGGGATGATTTACTAAAACTGGAGAATTCAAAATCTGGATCAGCTCTGCATAGAAATCAATCAGATTCCAGTTTTTTTTTTCTCAAAGCGTAATTGAACAAGCTAAAGTTAGGGGCTGATTGGCTGCCATGCACAGCTTTGTCACATTTTGTATTCTCCAGCTTTAGTAAATCAACCACTAAGTCTATTATGGGTACTGCAGCTAATTGTATATTCTTATTTTCTCTTTAGACTGTTGATTCTGGCACTTACACTTGTGTGGCAACGAGTTCTAGTGGAGAGACAACTTGGAGTGCGGTGCTGGAAGTAACGGGTAAGTAGTGTACACATGCTAGCACAGGGCATTGTAACTGTAGCCTGTCTCTGAGTGACAACCCTGATCTCTGTGCTTAATACTAGAATCTGCTGGTGCCACTGTCAGCAAGAATTTTGATATCAACGATTTGCCTGGATCACCATCAAAGCCTCAAGTTACCGATGTCAGCAAGAACAGCGTCACTTTGTCATGGCAGCAGGGCACACCAGGGGTCCTGCCTGTGACATCATATATAATTGAAGCTTTCAGGTAAGACAGCTTCCAGCAGGGAGCCTTCAAGTTAATTATTCTGGTTTTAGATGAGAGAAAAATCACATATCATTGATAATAATGAATCTTTTAGCTTCCAATTAGTATTTGCATCTTTTTTGATTGTAAGCACCCAGGAGCAGGGCCCTTCTAATCCTCTTGTATTGAATTGTATTGTAACTGTACAGTCTCCCTTTTCTTTGTAAAGCACTATGCAAACTGTTGGTGCTAAATATATCTGGTTTAATATAATTAATAATATATTTGCCATATTAATTATCATAGTTAGCCAAATGGGTTCATCAGTTTGCTAGTAGTCATTAATACATAGCTGCAACCAGTGATCTAATTAATATAGTTATTTTGATTGGTTTGCTAAAGGCAAATAGGCTGCTCACTTTGCAAAGAAAGTTGCACTTTGTAAAGGAATTTGCCCCAGAGCTTAGTGGATGCAGAGAGGTTTCACATTGCAAAAAATAACAAATTAATTGCAAGGAAAATAAAAAAACAATATGTTTGCCTACACATGATTGGATGATGGAAGTCAGCAAAGCTTCACTGTATTCACTAAGCTCTGGGGAAAATTTCCTTGCAAATTGAACAGCCTATTTACCTTTAGTAATAGTATTAGGTTTGTATCAGTATAGTGTAAAGACCCTTTCATGTCCATGCACACTGGACACTCCCTAGACTCCTTTCCCCTGGGAGCAGAAAAACGTTTGACGCTGGCAAACACATGTACCACATGTAGCCACGTTTAGCCACATCAGGCAATTGGGTGTTAATTAATTTCATTGTCCAGAATAAATAATTTATTCCGGTCCCTTGAAATGAATTAACACTGAAACACTAAACATGCCTAGCATTAATGCGTGTTTAGACAAGTTTTGCTGTTTCAAGCATTTTCCTGCCCTAATTCTTCTCTCCTGAACGCGATTCTTCTGCATTCAGGAGAGGAGCATGTTACTGCCTCTAGACGCTGCTGCTCCTAAACTCTGGGAAAAGTCTATGTGTGCATGGGCACATAGTCTTTTATTGAGTTGTGTTCAGGGGCTTTGGCAAAAAATATCAATAGCTTCAAAAAACGTCCATTTGGGAGCAGCAGTGTGCATGAGACCTAAAGACCGATCAAGGGACATGGGGACAGCAGTGACTTATGTAGATAGGAGAGACATTTTTTACCAAGAATTGTATCTTTACACTTGCAGTCTTGTTAGTGGCCCCGATTTCTAATTGTTAAGAAAGCAGATAGAACTATCCTGCCGCATTGCTTTCTCATTGGCCAAACCAAGGACATTGCTCTGTCACTGATCACTCACTGATAGGCAAGTTTCAGCAGTGCTTCAGCCAGCTAGTAAGTGATGCTGTAGGAGCAGGTGAATGTCCTGAGGATTCACTGTCAGTGACAGGTTCACTAATGTTATATGGCTCTAAGTGTGATTAACCTGTGGAATGTTCTACTACAATATGTGCTTTCTTATAATAAATTATATATGTGCCTGAGCAATTAAAGAATACTATAGAAATGTTTAAACCCTGGGCATTATTCCAAGTACTTTTGTGTGGTCAGTGAGTTTTTCACCATCATATGGCAAATTTTGTGACGTACCTGTCTGAGACTGGGTCACCATCCAGTCTGAAGAGTAGTACAGGTGCCTGTGGTGGGGGTCCAGGAAAAATAGGAGATCTGAAAACAGTCTGAATACCTCAAAAATGCTAAAGGCCAACCATCCTGATAAAGTTCTATATTGCTTAAAGGATTTTGTTTTGACTTCCACTGGACCACAAGAGCTGACGCTTGTAAGAAGGTAAACATGAGGGCATAAGCTGACTATTATATGTATTTTTCATACCCTAATTAATGCTACAACTTTTTTGTGGTAACTTGTGTTGTGTTTTCACTTTCATCGAGATGGCTTTTTGAAGAACCTCATTATATGACTTTCAAAGACAAAAACACAAAATGTTTACAGGAAAATCTTGCACTTTTAAATATATTTTAACAGATATAAGATTTTTCTATAACAGTGGATTTTGGCAGCATTTTGAAAAAATACGGAGCAAAGTGTTTAGTGTGACTAGAGAAAAAATGGAGCAAGAGTGTTTCTAAACTCCTGATGTTTTTACAAAGAGTATTGAAGGCAAAATGCAGGGTATGGATATACTCCTGTTAAAGAGTATATCTAGGACAAAAAATACATATTCAGTAGATCTGAAGATTGTAATACATGCACATGTGCCCAATCTATGACTTTAAACAGCTACAAGTAAAGAAAATGCCTAGTAATCTTGCCAGTTCAGTAAGCTCCTGACTTCCTGTAAAGGACTGACAATGCTGTGATTATTGCACCAGAATCCCAAGCAGTGTTGTCAACCCTAGTTGAGTTCTTTTCTGTTGGACTACAGACCCCTCCCCCTTGTATTATATAGATAAGGAAAGGGGGAGGCATTCTATACTATAACGAGAGAACTCAGGTAGTGTTGACAACACTGCTAAGAATTTCAGTCCAGCAGAGACAGCGTTGTCAGTTCAGAGTTAGGAGCTCACTGGATTTCTGGTAGGATCAACATTGTTTTTTTGTACTTGCAACCTTCTCGAAAGGACAAAACAGGAAGAAGGAGGAAACACCCATATATTGCATAGATGTAATCCTTTTTTTGTATTCATCTAGACATATGGTTACATTTTTCTGTGCAAATAAAAAGGAATGATGGGGTCCTTCTAGTGTTTGATGCAAGACTGGCAGGGCCTGGCAGGTGACCACTATCACTGTTTGAATGGACGTGTTTTTGTTCTGTTATTTTTCGTTTCTAGAGTGTCACTTACTGCTGTGATCAGCCAGGCAATAAAGTGACTTTTTGTCAGTTGAAGCTCCTCTCCTGATCAGGTAGTTGCTGTAGTAATCCATCTTCCTCTTATTATGGTAATGGTTATTTAATACTTCCGTAACCACGGAGCGTCTCTGTGACATTCTGACAGATGCTTCATTCTTGGATACATATACTGTTAACTTAGGAGAACGGTACACGCACTGCTGCCTGTATGCACTAGACATTAGCAATTTAGCATGAATCAACACTGGATCGAGACTTAATGTGAATGAAAAACATTAAGAAAAATATGTAGAACTTTTATATTTAGACATTGCAGATTTTTTTTTGTAACGATAAATGAAAAAGATAGAAAAAATAGCACAGGAGGATCAGTACTGTTATGTTGCCTAATGATTTCTCTAATGATAAATAGCATTTGACAAGCTAGGCTCTGTCTACATTTTGTGTAGAGGAAATGTGCATTCCCACTCACTATTTTTTTTTTTTGCTCAATTTAAATGCGTTTCTGCATGTTACGCATAGAGAATCCCGTTCGTTTGAATTGGCTGCCCTATGCGCTTTTGTCATGCCTGAAAGAGTGTCTGCATCTCATGGTTGACAAGCTTCATGTGATTTTTTTTTTTTTCACATGTGATTTTCTGCAATTTCTTGCATTGCATTTGGAGTTCCAGTAAAGTTGTCTAATGGGAACATCACTCACTTTGTAGAGATTTCCTATCACTTTATTTTGCATCCCTGAACAGTAGGGAAAAGGAAATCTCCACAGAAGAACACAAATAACAAAAAAGAAAAATCCTGATAAGTCTGTTTATACCCCTGGTACTCAACCTGTGGCCTGAGGGCTGCATCCCGCCCTGTGGTATACGATGTGTGGCCCTTGGACCGCAGCAGTCGGTTATGGGAACATTGATTGAGGGTAATAACATTGATCTTTACTAGCCTCATGTAAATTTTTCCCAGTTTCATATTGTCTTCTGTAGCATATCCCCAGCCAAAAATGTAGCATTTCCACACTCTCTGACCCTCATTTCCTTTACTAGGTCTACAGTTTCTGACAGCCTTTCCAAGCATTACATATACTGCACATTATGTGCGGCCCTTTGGCACATTTGAGGCCCCCTTTAGCTCATAGGTTGACAACCACTGGTTTAAACCATAACCTATTCTACTCCACTTTAAAAAATAAACAAAAATAAACATTTCAGTATATGTATATATATATATATATATATATATATATATATATACACTGCTCAAAAAAAAATTAAAAGAACACTTTAAAAACACATCAGATCCCAATGGGGACAAATATTATGCTGGATATCTATACTGATATGGACTGGGAAATACGTTAGGAACGTAAGGATGCTCCATCATTTGATGGAAATTAAAATTATCAACCTACAGAGGACTGAATTCAAAGACACCCTGGAAATCAAAGTGAAAAAATGATGCAGCAGGCTAGTCCATTTTGCTGAAATTTCATTGCAGCAACTCAAAATGGTACTCAATAGTTTGTATGGCCCCCACATGCTTGTATGCATGCCTGACAATGTCGGGGCATGCTCTTAATGAGACAACGGATGGTGTGTTAGGTATTTCCTCCCAGATCTGGACCAGGGCATCACTGAGCTCCTGGACAGTGTGAGATGCAACCTGGTGGCTTCGGATGGATTATATCCCAGAGGTGTTCTATTGGATTTAGGTCAGGCAAGCCTGGGGGCCATTCAATGGTATCAGGTCCTTCATCCTCCAGGAATTGCCTGCATACTCTCGCCACATGAGGCCCGACATTGTTGTGCACCAGGAGGAACCCAGGGCCCACTGCACCAGTGTAGGGTCTGACAGTGAGTCCAAGGATTTCATCCTTGTACCTAATGGCAGTCAGGGTGCCATTGTCTAGTCTGTAGAGGTCTGTGTGTCCCTCCATGGATATGCCTCCCCAGACCATCACTGACCAACCACCAAAACTGTCATGCTGAACAATGTTACAGGTAGCGTAACAATCTCCATGGCTTCTCCAGACCCTTTCACATCTGTCCCATGTACTTAGGGTGAACCTGCTCTCATCTGTAAAAAGCACAGGGGGCCAGTGGCGGACCTGCCACTTTTTTGGTGCCGGGCAGTGAGCACAGAGCCCACTAGAAGATGTTGGTTCCTCAGACCACCCTCATGAAGTCTGTTTTTCTGATTGTTTTATCAGAGATATTCACACCAGTGGCCTGCTGGAGGTCATTTTGTAGTGCTCTGGCAGTGCTAATCCTTTTCCTCCTTGCACAAAGGAGCAGATACTGGTCCTGCTGATGGGTTAAGGACCTTCTATGGCCCTGTCCAGCTCTACTAGAGCAACTTCCTGTCTCTTGGAATCTCCTCCATGCTCTTGAGACCATGCTGGGAGACACAGCAAATCTTTTGGCAATGGCACGTATTGATGTGCCATCCTGAAGGAGTTGGACTTCCTGTGCAGCCTCTGTAGGGTCCAGGTATCGCCTCATGCTACCGGTAGTGACACTGACCCTAGCAAAAGGTAAAACTAGTGAAAAAAACAGTCAGAAAAGATAAGTAGGAAATAAATGTCAGTGGTCTCCACCTGTAAAACCATTCCTGTTTTGAGGGTCGACTCACTGTTGTCCATCTAGTGCACCTGTTGTTAATTTCATTAACACCAAAGCAGCTAAAACTGATTAACAACCCCCTCTGCTGCTTAACTGACCAGATCAATATCCCAGGAGTTTAATTGCCTTGATGCTATACTCTGATTAAAAAGAAATCCTTTAATTTTTTTGAGCAGTGTATATATATATATATCTTAATGATGTTCTTGTGCAAGAAAATAGTGTTTCACCTAGAGACATTGTGGTAGAATTATAGTGACCACAAGTGGAGGTATTACCTATTGTAGTTAATCAAAGGCATGAATGTGATCTTCAAGAGAAGGGGAGTGTGAATGTGTTTACCCATAGAAACCTTTCCAATTCTACCCAGAGTAGGATAGAATATGATAAATATAATATGAATAGCCCATCTGTGCAGGTCTTTATTTTACTGCCATATGAATAAATTGAAATGATCTGTATAGCAGTTGCCTCTTGCTGATTGTATAACCCCCAGCGATGTTAGAGTTTTGCTGTCACTGTTCATATGTCTTCATCTCCACATAACAAGCTTCAGTATCTGTCATGCCCATAAATTTTCTCACACTGATTAAAGGTTTCTGATATTTTTATTTTCTGCAGCCAATCTGTCAGCAATAGTTGGCAGACAGTGGCAAATCATGTGAAGACCACGCTGTATACCGTGAAAGGCCTGAGACCCAACACAATATATCTTTTCATGGTGAGAGCAATCAATGCTGAAGGCCTAAGTGATCCCAGCCCGATGTCAGACCCAGTGCGAACACAAGGTAATGTGGCTTAATGTGTTGTCATAGTATATCAGACTGGCAGATACATTAGATGATTCTGGAATACATTAGATCTGTTGACATAGGAACTCCATATGTCAACAGATGACCTATAGCAACCAACAAGATTTGAAAAAGTATGTGGGGACAGGACAACAGCAAACTGGGGAATAATAAAAACAGAATCATAGCTATATATGCAGTATATTCATAAAATGAAAAACACAAAAGCAAATATGATAGGTATGTACTGTAGATGTAGATATCTAGCTTCCTTGTTTCTCCTGTGGAAGCAAACCTGTGATTTAGGAAATGTGCTGAGGATTTCATACCTCCTTGTCTCAGTGATTTCCAGTATGATCAAGAGACTATGTGATTATGACAATATAAAAGTAAAGCACTGAATTTTCAGGGATAAATAACCTGGTAGCTGTTACAATGTAGAATAATTTAAAACAAAGTGATACTTTTTAACAGTTGTTTTAACTTGGTTGTGGTTTAACATCATGGGATGTGGGTACGATTATGTATTTTGATATCCATACAATCTCATTAATTAATATAAATATGATAGATGGAAAATTTTATAAAATAGTACTACTAATGCATTCATGGAAGGGCATTCAAAAATCCTTTGAGCAGAGCTAGACAAAGGAATAAAATAAGGGCACACATATATATCAGCCTCATATAAAGCCCAGCATGTGTTCAAAATCTCCAAGGCAACAGATGCATTGACACGTTTTCCAGGCTAATAAATAAAATTAACTTCATTTGCTTAAATGGCAAATGCAGTGGTTTGCTAATGATACTAGAGGGTCGTTCCGGAAAATGAGAGCACATTGGCTGATGAGTGTGCAAAAGATGCACCTGTCAATGAAGTTGACATGACCATTGATTGAATCTATATCATGCAGTTATGAGGTATAGATTGAGTTTTTAATGTATTCCATTTCCCTCATCTTCCTTGTCTTAAGGATACTATTTGTATCCAGTCACATTATTGCTGCTTTGGTTGTTTCTTGATCCCTGCCATATTTAACATGGCTTGTGCCCTTCCAATCAGCAAAAAATAGGTATTGGCAGTATTATCATACAGTATGAAATAGAAAATGGTTAAAATAAAAGAGACTCAAATAACATAAAAGTGTGTAAAGCAATGTAGGAGAGATTTAAGACCGCTGTCAGTTTTTTTTCTTTCTCTGTGCGCCTTGTCAGGGAGATTGTATTTCACTTTCTGTCCCAGAGACACAACAGGATGTAAAAGGAAATGTCTTTAAAAAGGAAAGGAACTGCCCTTCTAGCCAATTGTCACTTTATGTGGTTTCTGCATTGGAAGATATACCTTCACCTCTGGTTCTGTGACATCCCAAAAACTTTGTGCTTCCCATCAGGTTCTATTCTAAAGACAGCTGTCACCAGGACCAGTAGAGAGGGAGACTCAGTGGGGACATAGACAATAATAAAATTTTTATGTGGTTCCACATTTCATCTAAAAATAAAATTAAACAGTTAAGCTTTACATATAATTTAAAGTTGAACTCCAGGAATTAGCACAGCTATCGCTACAGGAGCTCTGACAGGAGAGACACTATCTTCTCACATGCATCATCATTGCCTGCCCCTCCCCTTGGCTGTCCATTGATAAGAGTATTTGTATTTTGTGACTGGGTTCATATAGCACAAAGCGCTCTGTGATTGGACAGAAAGAGTCAAGGAGCAGGCACTGTGGCTGCATGCAACTCTGCAGCTGCTGGAGCTGACCAGAAGACCAGAATGTCCAGCATTGGAGTATTGGAAGTATAGCAATAGCTATGCTCTTGGTGCTCTGTAAACGTGTTAATTGTAGATTAAAGAGATAAATTAATGAGAACTTATGCATCTCATTGGGCTTAACCTCTAGTAATCCAGAACATTTTCTAAAGTGGCTGAATTCCTAGAGTTTAGCTTTAAGCTAATTGGTGTAAACCATGTTAAAGGAAACTTACAAATATTTTACATAATTCCTTTCTGTCTCAGAGTCACTAAGAATATCAAAACAGTTTTTTTTCCATACAGTACTTAGTGTTCAGTCTTCAACCTACTTTAAACACAATTACACTTTCCTGATTTATTGATGTAATGCAGCCAGGCTGCATACATAGTAAGAATTCTGATATTCTTTTCCTCCTTATTTAACTGCCTCCCAATTTAAAAAAAACCCATGCAGCAGCAATCTGGGGAGTTGGACTGCAGCTCTCTCACACAAAGTCTTGGTCCAGCTCTCCTGCGATTCAACATTCACTTCCAACAGGGCAGGTAGTCAGGGTGGTGCTGCTGATCTGTACACTTTTTGGGAAGAGGTGGAGAGGGTAGTAGTGGGTTGTGTTGTACCACAGGACAGCCAGCCTGTCTGACTCACCAGACTGTGATTTGAGCTTTACATAGCAGATACCTTATAGTGTTTATCATCCTATGTTACTCCTTATCTTCAGCAAAGTGCCCTGATACCCCTAAAACAAGGGATAAATTAACAACCTTTGATTGGATTTCATCCACCTTCAAATTCTAGCTAAAAATGACAGCATTCCAGCTGAAGATGATCATTAATGCAAGAAATATAAAATAAGTAAAAAAGACAAAAACATAATACTGTTGAAAACTATGAGTACTTAATGTTGGATTTTTGACTGAAAGGGTGGAATTTCTCTTTAAACAGGTGCATCCTAAGTTTTATTTCTTTGTAAATGCTAAGTAGAGAACCATTCAAGAAAGACTTAAGATTGTGTTATTATTAATCAGAATAGCACTACACTTACAGCCAATACACCTGCTCTCAGTTTCTCAGGTACTTATATCAGTGAAGAGTCTCTTATACAGTGAAGTTTCTTAATTATGAAAAATTACTAAATCATGACCTAATTCTTGTCTGTATTAGCAGAGATACCGTGACTTGATTAAAAGTGTTAATCAGTGATAGTGGGGGATAGTTTAAATGAAGAAGTTTAAAGAAGAGAGTTGTCTGTCTTAGTTTAGTTCATCTTTGTTATCATCTGTCAAAAGATGGAAGTATGTAGATTTGAATTTTTATATGGTACATGTTGCATTTCTGCTAAATAAATATTAATGCTCAACAGACCATGTACACACTGGGGTTTTTTTTTCCTCTTGGGTTGTAAATGCTAGTTCAGGGTTTCTTAGCAGGGTTTCATACAACCGTAATGTTCCTTTGGATTCCTTGAGCAATGACCAACATTTGCTTCTCAGATAAGTTCCTGCTAACACCATTGATCTTTTTAGCTATCTGTAAGGGGGAAATTCTTCCTAATGACCACAGGTATAAGGAGCACTCTTCCCCCTGACCATCGCACCAGTGTATCATGTGTTGTAGATATAGTAATTTTTAGCAGGATTCCCTGAGACAGGAAAGTTATTTCAAGGGTTACTCTGTGTTGAAGGTTAAGAAAGTAAGTTTCATTAGGCATCATGTAAGCATTTAGTAACTGCCAGCCCCATTGGCTTTTGAAGCTTTCCAAACTCTGTCAAAGTCACCAAAAAGCCAGATGAAGCCTACTAAGGCCCTAATACTCTTCAGACTGGCATGTACAAACTAAGGTTATTATCATTACTATTATTATACATATATATAGCAACAACAGTTTGCGCAGCACTTTACAAAATAAAGGTAGACCTAAGTTACAATACAATTTGATACAATAGGAAACAGAGGGCCATGCTTGTTAGAGCTTACAATCTAAGAGGAAGGGTTGAGTGATACAAAAGGTAATATCTGTGGGGGATGTGCTGATAGAGGAAATAAAAAGCAGTTTACTAGTTAGAAGCAGGATAGGCTTCTTTAAAGAGAAGTGTTTTCAGAGATCGTGTATAGATGAATTGATTAGGAGATAGTTGGACAGATTGGGGTAGGGAGTGCCATAGGATGGGAGAAGCTCAGGAGAAGTCCTCGAGGTGTGCATTGGAGGAGGTGACATGGGAGCCAACTAGAGAGCAGAAGGTCTTGAGAGGATCGAAGAGAGAGGTTTACTTGATATTGTGAGACCAGGTTGGTGATGTAGTTGGGGTAGTTGTGGATGGCTTTGTAAGTTGTTGTTAGTATGTTGAATTTTATTCAAGTGGAAGCCAGTGGAGGGATTGGCAAAGAGGGGTAGCAGACACTGAATGGTTGGTAAGGTGGATGAAAACAATAAACAAACAGAAGGCACTGCCATCTAAGTGTTTAAATTTAATTAAAGTAAAGGAAAGGGTTAACATACACTCACAAGGATGATTGTTAATGGGCATATCACCAGTCTTTATTCACTGGCTAGCCTCGGGTGGATGGATGGATGAAATTTATCCGCAAAGCAGCTCTGCAGGATAGGTGGAGTAAAGCTGGACTCTGTCAGATTGCAGATTATGTCCATATGACAGGCCGTGTCTTCCTCCAGCAGCAAATATAGCCCCACTTGAACGCAAGCTAGCACCAAGACCAGAATCAGAAGTGACGTTGGGATGTATTGATGTCAAAGCGTAATGGGTGGTAACATGTTTTGGAGCCCACAATCGCTCCTTTGTTAGCTCATCTCATGGATGGATACATCTCATCCATCCATCCACCCGCTGTCCACCGAGGCTTGCCAGCGAATAAGGACTGATGATATGCCCATTTACTCTTATCATTATGAGTGTATTTGAACCCTTTCCTTTATTTGTTTTTAATTAAATTTATACACTTAGATGGCAGTGCCTTCTGTTTGTTTATTGTTTTAGTGCACAGAGATATCCAATACCCTGTTAGAAGAGCTGCAGCCATTATAGAAGTGGATTAACACACCTGGATCCACCATACAGAGACTATGAATTTCTGCTTGGGACTTAATCACTCTTTCTCCATTTGAGTTATAGTTTTTTAAGTTTTTGTACTTTGGTAAGGTGGATGAGCCTGGCAAATCTCTGTGCAGGGTGTAGCCGAGGGTGGCATTGTTACTCAAGTGACATCACGGTGTGAGATTGGCTGGTCCTTTGTCACAAGTTGGTAAGAAGGACAGGGTCGGGCACCGTGTTCATTACATATTGACAGATTTCTCAAGATCAGAAAACCTCCATGTGTTTCTTAGCCTAAAATACATTTTTATCCCATATTTGAATATGTACAGATGTACATATTGTAATTTGTCATAATGTTTTGTCATTACATTTTCTCTGTTAGATATAAGCCCAACTGTTCAAGGAGTGGACCATCGGCAGGTTCAGAAGGAGCTGGGAGATGTGATTGTTCGGTTGCATAATCCTGTGGTTCTTTCACCTACCACGATTCAAGCTTCCTGGACGGTAAGACCAAATAACTAGTTAGATTAAAACTCCATCTGACCCTAACTGCCCTGAATTGTGGTATAGGTTTAGTTGCCAGATGATCTTGACAGATATATGGAGAAGCACAATCTCTAAATACACTCTTGAACCTGTCTAATCAATGCAGTGTTAAAACTGGCCTGGTTGTGGGAAGTGGCCTGAAATAATGTGTCACGATTTTCAGTCCTGACATATTGGGAAATACAGCCTGTATTTCCAGCCAACAATGGTTTGCATATTTTGAAATTTGCATTCCATATCAAATATAGGAACAGTGGGGCGGGCTTTAAAAGAGCTATGTTTTTCCAAAATTAGGTAGACAGCAAAAGTAACAAATACTTTCAAAAACCTGAACATGTATGGTTAACTTTTGGCAATAATCTGCTTGATAGCACTTAACATTAACCTCTTGCTGACTGCAGATAGCTGAATGACGGGTGCACTGTGGCCGGCCAGTTCTGGGTGGACGTCATATGACGTCCACCCAGAACTCGCTCTCCTGCATACCCTCGGGGGGCGTGCACCCGGTGATCTCCATGATCGCTGTGTCCTTCGGACACAGCTGATCACATGATATGGTAAAAGGACAATCACAGCGGCCTTTTACCAAGTGATCAGCTGTGTCCATTGACACACTGATCACCGGGAAATGCAATTGCCGGTTATCAACTGCACTTTCCTCACGCTGTCACAGCGTGAGGAAAGTACTGCCGAGAACCATCAGTTGTCAGAGGAGGGATTGGCTCCGATCATCAGGGCACTGAGGATCAGTGCCCTGATGATCGGTGACCAGCAGTGCCACCCACCAGTGCCCAGCAGTGTCACCCACAAGTGCCCAGCAGTGCCACCCACTTGTGCCCAGCAGTGCCACCCACCAGCGCCCAGCAGTGCTGCCCACAAGTGCCCAGCAGTGCCACCCACCTGTGCCCAGCAGTGCCCATCAGTGCAGCCCAGCAGTACCATCCATCAGTGCCACCCAGCAGTGCTACCCGTCAGTGACCAGAAGTGCCACCAGTCAGTGCCATCAGTCAGTGCCACCCATAAGTGCCCAGCAGTGCCGTCAGTCAGTGCCCAGCAGTGCCGCCAGTCAGTGCCCATCATCAGCGCCAGCTCAACAGTGCTGCCTATCAGCGCTACCTATCAGTGCCGTCTATCAGTGCCGCCTATCAGTGCTGCCCATCAGTGCCGCCTATCAGTGCCACCTATCAGTGCCCATCAGTGCTGCCTATCAGTGCAGCCTCATCAATGCACATATTTGAAGGAGAATAATTACCTGTTTGCAAAATTTTATAATAGAAGCAAAGAAAAACTTTAAAATTTTTGCTCTTTTTTTGTTTATAGCGCAAAAAATAAAACACCCAGAGTCAAGTAAATACCACCAAAAGAAAGCTCTATTTGTGTGAAAAAATTATAAAAATTTTTTATGGGTACAGCGTTGCATGACCGCGCAATTGTCATTCAAAATGCGACAGCTCTGAAAGCTGAAAATTGGCCTGGTAAGGAAGGGGGTATAAGTGCCCGGTAGGCAAGTGGTTAAACTGTAAAGATGTTGTAGAAATACTGCATATGCTGTCAAAGAGTTAAAGCAAACAGTTTGTTAATACACAGGAAAGAAAATGTGTTAGTGATTTGATTTTGACACATTCAGTGCAAGTAGTATAACAGGGTTGAAAATTTAGCACATTGAATATCTTAAAAACTAAAAATAACTTAAGCTATGCACACCACTGTCATACTGCTTAGAATTTATAGTATATATAAATGCACACAGACAAAATGCTCAATTCACATAACTATATGTAAGGACTGGAAGAACAAGACACTCTTTGGGAAAGCAGTAGGGCAGTGCTTGAAAGGTCCAGTTCCCACTGCTCTGATTGAGTCATGGGGGCATTGTGCTCTCCCCAAGTGTGTGTGAGTTTTCTCTAGGTACTTTTTTTTTTTTTTTTTTTTAACGTTACAAGGTCAGATTGATGGCTTACATTTGCCCTGTATTTGCTGATCTTTCTTTCTTAAAATTCTGGTTTCTTAAAATGCTACCTTTCTGCTTTTGCACCACTTACGAAAGGCAAGTATGGAGATGAGGATATCTAACTTGGTCTGCATACTAGACCCAGATGTGTGGCTGAGAAAGCATTAAAGTCAGAGGGCAGCATACTGGACAAGCAACTAGCATTTTCAGAAGGAGGTTTTCAATATGGCAGCTCCCATGTTTTTGTCATGGTGGGTTTACATTAATTGATCTCCAACCTAGTCAGCCATAGTTTGTCTGTAATACGTTTGTTTATGTTAAAAACATTAGATTGTAGGCTGAGTGGGGGCCAGTGCTGAATTGAATGGTACTGTATGCAACAATTATTTATATAATATTTTTGAGCTATATACATTATTCTTGCAGGTGCTTATATAGCGCTGTCAATTTACGCAGTGCTTTACATATAATCGTACATTCACATCAGTCCCTGCCATCAAAGAGCTTACAATTTAAAGTCCCTAACTCATATTCATACATACACATACTCAGGCCAATATAGACAGGAGGCAAGTAATCTACCAGCATGTCTTTGGAGTGTGGGAGGAAACCCATGCAGACGGAGACCATGCAAACTCTGTGCAGGTAATGCCATGGTTAGAAGTTGAACCGACAACCCTAGTGCTCCTATGTGGAAGTGCTAACCACTTAGGCACTATGCTGCTGGAAGTTGCAAGAAAAAAAGCTAAATCAGTCAAGATAAACAATCAATAAATTTCTCCAACAATACCCTTCACAATGCTTTCAAGGCTGTACTGACTTGGGCACACATGTCCACATTTTGTAGGAGTGCCCCTTAGTGCAGACCTTTTGGTCTGAGGTGTTTCAGATCCTCTAAACTCTTTTTGAAGTTCTGCTTACACCTGACCCTATTGTGGCTCTCCTGAAAAACAAACCCATGGCTTTCACTCACCTTCAATTCATGCTATTACTTCAAGTTACCACAGCAGCCAAACAAACCATTGCAAACGCTCGGAAATCCCTCTCATTATGTATTCTAGCAATGAAACGCAGAATTACCAAGCTGATGACTCACGCCAAAACTGAACCAATCATACTAGATAGAGTAACTTCCCTAAAAAACCCTGGAAGCTCTGTATCACTCATTATTTGCCACCAGATCTTGATTACTCTGCTGCTGCCCTGACAGCTCTGACGTAACCCTGAGGTTACACTCATATAGGTGGTCCTGGGCCCTCCTAAAGGATTTGCCCCTCTTTCCCCTCCCTTCCACACCCCTTCTTATCCTCCCCCCTCCCATGTCAAAACCCTTACATCTCGTTTTTTTATTTCTATCCAGGTTTAGCCAATCACCATTAGCTGCCACCCCTTTTTTCTTCTCTTTTCTTAGTTTCACTCTATTCAGAATAACCTTGATGAGGTCCCAGGTCCACAATTTCCCAGAGGCTCTGATTACTTTTGTTAGCGCTTTCCCGGATTTCACCTGTACTTCCCAGGAATTCCCCTGATGGGGGTGCAGTGTTACAACCCTGTCGCCCCATTGGAGGCTGGTATTCAATCACCCCAGTACTCTACCTCGTCGCATCCTTACCTGTGCACCCAAACTGCTTGAACCACTAGCCTGCTTCAATGTACTTGTTTGAGCCTTGTTCTCCTCTACCTAACTCCATATACCATGTAATTATACTTGATAATCTTCATGTTCATTTTCCTTTTATTGTATTTTGCCTATGTATGACTAACACTTTCTATTACATTTGACTATATTCCTGTAATCTGCTTTGTAAAACTCTATAATAAAATATTTGAACAAGAAGAGAAACAATCAAATTTGCTTGACATCTTTTATGGATGTTACCAAGTAGACATACTGTGGGGGTTGATTTACTAAAACTGCAGGATGCAAAATCTGGTGCAGCTCTTCATAGAAAACAATCAGCTTCCAGATTTTATTGTCAAAGCGTAATTTAACAAGGTGTAGTTAGAAGCTGATTGGCTACCATGCACAGAAGCACCAGATTCTGAGTGCACCAGTTTTATTATATTCCCCCCCCCCCCCCCCCGATATGTTGGAGCTGCTGCAGGAATGTCCAACTTTGTTGAAAACCAAGAACATCCTAGAAAGATTATATCTTCCATCTAGCATGGAAAATGATAAGAACAATATAAACCTGTGGTCTGGCAATGGCATTGTTCGGATGACATCCGTAGCCAGTGCCTACACCCAAGAGAAAGAAATGAAGCTAGGCTGAAGAAATCAACCTTCCCTAAACTGGTCAATGCATCCTATTTTTTCAGTTGGGATATTCAATGAATAGGCATTGCTATATAATGTTCAAATTCTAACAGTAAATCTTGTAAAATCAGAAAAGAATGAGTGGGTGTCTAGTAAGCATAGTTTCATTTGTAATGTCATGTTTCAGAAAATCTTTTATGAATGTGCATAAAACAATTAATTGATGGGAGGCAAAGATAGATGTAAACAGTTTCCTCTGATTTACAGCCTTCCTTTATCTGAAAACCAGCTGTTTAATGTCCCTCTTAAAACACAGCTTGTTTTTCTCAGTATTAACAGGCCATTATTGTGAGTTACATCCATATTTGCACGTACATTTACTTAATGTAAAGACAGAGAAGTTTATTAAATGGTCTGCTAATGTCACACCGACATATGTTTCACAAAGCTTAGCAGTGACACATTTCTCCGAATGATGTTTGCACAGCTTGCAGACATTCTCATGTGTGTCTAAAACAAATGTTGATGCTTAGAGTGATAGTTTGCTCTAAATATGTACAGTAGCTAAATGCAGTTAAAAGCCATCAATCAGATAAAAAGAGGATATTAGGCTAAGCTAAATAAAATTTCTTTCTCATACAGTTGATTGTCTTTCTTTATAGATGTTTCTATGTTCTTGCAAAAGCTTGTTCCTTCAGACCCCCAATGTCTGTTTGTACCCTCATATCATGTGCACATAAGCATTGGCTT